AGACTTGCGTGATGCCGAGTCCACGAAATGACATCACATATTTCCTTTAGGTTGCTAAATGATTCAATTTTTAAATATTACTTAAAAGGCTGATTTTTTCGCACATGTTTTGGACTTGGTACCTTTTGCATACAGTTTATTTTGTACAACCATTGCAGTTCCTTCACAGTTAGTGTTTTTTAATTTTTTTACTACCTTATCTATTCAGCTTATGCCTTACATTCTTCTTTTATTATCTCCAGCTTTATGTATTATTCGAAGATATGATGACCAAGATGGTGTGGACCTCGGTATGGTCGCAGTCTCCTTTCAACTTAGTTGAACGCACCTCGTCCGAAGTCCTATGCCATACTAATTACCATAATTCCCAGCATCAGACCGTGGACTTGGTACATTCTCAGACGTTTCGCCGGCATCGTAGTCGGCAACAATCTACAAACTAGTCAAAGAGACATGTGAAGTGAATCCCTGGACCAACGTTGTGCCGAAAACGGTTACACTATCACTCCTCTTTGTCCTGGCCCATCTATCAACTGCTTATCCTCTTATCCCACTTGCTAAAAAAAGGGCACAGATTTTGCCGATTTGAATTTAAGTAAGTCAGTTGTTGTGATAGTGCGCGAGTTGGATAAGAGTGTAAGGAGTAGATAGATTGGCCCGGACAGAAAGAGGAGTGATAGTGCAACCGTTTTTGGCAGAACGTTGGTCGAGGGATTGACTTCATTTGTCTCTATGACGAGCTTGTAGCTTGATGTGGAGAATGACAACACGCAGTGATGATGCCGACTACGATGCTGGCGAAACGTCTGAGAAAGTACCAAGCCCATGGTCTGATGATGGCAATTATGATGACTAATATGGCAGAGGACTTAGGACAGAGTGTGTTCCACTAATTCGCCTTGACAAGAAGACTAAGATGTGAAAACGAGATCAACCCACTTTTATGTATTATTTTTGAATCTACTCTTGTAATTTGGACCGTTTGCTCAATCATTCATTATTACCTGATTCATTTTATCTATGTTCCCCTTTTCATTCCTGCTATTTTCAAATATTCTATCCACATATTAACATATCATATCATCTCCATATCGCCCATCCACCCATGTATATTTGTTTATCCATCTGGTTATTTGGCACTCCAAACCTCTTTATAAAACTCTGAAGCTATACTTTTCCGTTTAATGACTTCACGTCCTTATAGATATTGGCACATTCACAAGCACGCATGCACATGGGAAAGCGTATAAACAAATTAAATTTATCTCCCTCATAACAGAAACGTTCTCTTTTACTTACTTTACAATGTTACAACAAAAAGCAAATGACAACTCTCATGCCTACTTTTTTGCATGCGTTCGCTTATTGTTTTGACAGGAGTTGGACCAACTGGCCTTACAGCTGACCAGCATGGGCGCTGTGTCTCCCAAATCTGGCTCACCGGTCGGTGACTCTCCTAATGAATCTGCAGATGTTGGCGATCTGCACACGCATGGATCTCCAGGTGGACCAGATGTTTTGATTAAGCGCTCCGATGAGCAGCCATCAAGACGGCAGCAGCACCGTCAGCCTGTTGTGGACTGCAAGTCTGCAGCAATCAAAGAGACGGAAAAAGAAGATAAATCTGGGAATTGTCAGCGTAACCGAACCCATCAGCATCAGAAGCGGCAACAGCGTCAGCATCAGCATCCCTACCAACCCAAGTCTCGGCTAGAACATCCAGCAGCAAGTCAAGAGGATAATGCCGAGGCTAGAGATCAAAAGGATGTACACGCTAATACTCACCATTCTCATCGAAATCGTCATCATCACCATAGCCATCGTGGCTATCTCCCGCAGCCTCAAGAGGACGATCATCGCCAGATGCAACAGTCCGCTTTGCATGCTGTCAAAGAAGCACGAGCAAAACCAATAGCTGCGGCATCTGAATCCGCTAACAGGGCACAAAGTAAAAAATATAAGGAGCATTGCCAGTCCCATGAAAAGCATCGTCAGCGACACTTTTCCAAGCACAAAATCAGGCTGCATCGGACTGGAGGTAAATCCTACTTTATTCAAAACTGGTTTCTCCAGCATTCTTAGCTCTCTTATTATGATTGGCTTCCCTTCCTATCTGAATATACTATTTGTTTTTGGCGAAGTCACCAAATCAATCGAGTCAAGTTTGCATTCATCTGTTATACATGCTTTCCTCAAGTGTACAAGGTGCCGGAAATCAACGTTATATCAAATAGTTAAGGCCTATGGATGCATGAGATTCATAATTCAATGCATTCGTCATATGTTTAAGCTTTTTTTTAATTCTCTCAACAGTCACTTCATAAATACATTTAAACCTTTCCTACCAATAATAGGTTCGGTAAAAGCTCCGATACGCTTTGGCTAAAGAACTAACTCATTTTTTCATTCTATTTAAGTTGACTTTAGATATTATCGAAATTCTATTTTAAGGATCCAAAGAGTAAGTGGACTGTCTCTAAAATACAAAACGCTTGTACTATATAACTCCTAAGTTGGATGCCCCGAAACGAAGAGAAAAAAAGTAAAAATAGCATTAGCAAGTGTCCCATTTAAAGAGGGCTGAATACAGTATGGGGGCTGACAATAGAAAGGCAATCATTGGAAGGCGACGCAACCTGCGCGAGTAACAGGTGATGGGATAAAGAAAAGGAAGGAAACGTGACCTACCTAAACAGTATATTAGCGAATCGAAGGTATAAAAACCAAGATGGTGTGCCCTTTAGTGTGGTTACAGTCTACTTTCGTTGTATAGAAGTTTTTTGATCTTGTTTTCGCAACTTGATCACATTTGTAGGAAGACTTAGAGGAACGCAACTAGTACGGAGTCCATTGTAAGCATGATCATTTCCAGAGCATGACCGTGGACGTGGTACATTCTCAGACTTTCGTCGGCATTGCCAGTGAGTCTCGCCATTTTTAGCACCACACAACAACTCTCTAAAGAGACAAGTGAAGCCGATCCTTTGACCAAACGTGGGGTAAGCAGTTTTGGTACCTCCCCTGGTATATTCATATTTCCTATATCCTCTTATCACGCCTTCACTGTCACAATTTTTTGCCGTGCTTATTTTGATGTAGTGTGGTGTACCCCTTCGAGCAGCATTCATGAAAAACCTTCACGGTCCACACTGTCGTTCTCACCCCCTTCATCCTTGTGCTGGAAATGTTGATCAGTCTGCTATGTTGTTACGCCGCCCTCCTTTCCTAAGTCTTATCACAGTTTCTCTCTTGCCCCATAAGATCCGTCTGCTCTTTATCTTGTTCACTATTTCACTTGACCCCTGCCACTCCATCTGTGCTACTCGAGGCGTTATTCGCCCTCCCCTGCATCTGGGTGACTAATTTGAGGTTCAAGCCTCTGTGTAAGTCTCATTGTCAAGCCTTTGCTACATGGTTTACGTCTATGGTACAACAGACCTACTGTCAGCCAATTAGCTCCAGTCTCCACCGCGTCTATCCTGTTTCTACCTCTAATACCAATTCTATGACATGATATGCCCTTGCCTCTTGTGTGCCAACCCACAAATGTTGTGGTACTGCTTACTTTGATTAGGTTCAATGTTGAACTACAACGTTTATGAGTTGTCACACAAAAGACTGGGGCATAGGAAGTCATATACTTGGTATTAGGGATAGAAACAGGATAGACACGTCGGAGACTGGAGCTAGTTGGCTGACAGTAGGTTCTACCAGAGACGTGTTCGCTGCAGCAAAGGCTTGCCCATGAGACTTACTCAGAGGCTTTAGCCTCGAATTAGTCACCCAGGCGCAGAAGAGGGTTAATAACGCCTCGAGTTGCACAGATGCGGTCGCAGGGGTCGAGTGAAATACGTGAACCAGGGAGAGAACAGACGGATCTTACGGGGCAAGAGAGAGACTGTGATAAGACCTAGGGAAGGGGGACGGCGTAACAATATGGCAGACTGATCCACATTCCCAGCGCAAGAGTGAAGGGTGTGAGAACGACAGCGTGGAGTGTGAAGGGTTCTCATGACTTCCGTTTAAAGGATCACACCACACGACATCGAAATAAGCACGGTAAAAATTGTAACACTGAAGGCTTGATAGGAGGATATAGGAAATGTGAATAGACCAGGGCAGAAGGGGAGATACCACAACTGTTTAGCACACGTTTCGTCAAAGGATCGGCTTTACTTGTCTCTTTTACGAGTTGTGTGATGCTAAGAATGGCGAGACTCACTGAAGATGCCTGCCAAACGTCTGGGAATGTACCACGTCCACGGTCTAACTTTGGAAATGATGATGCATACAATGGACTTCGGACTAGGTGCGTTCTTCTAAGTCTTCCTACCAACATGACCAAGTTGCGAAAACAAGGTCAAACAACTTCTAGTATATTGGCTACTTGATATGGCCTTGCGTAGTTTTCCATGTCAACTTCTGATTAGACGATGCTGTGTCTAGCTTTGATTGGTCAACTCGAGATAAAAAAATGAGACCATAGTTACAAAATAATTGTTGACGTTTTACAAGCTATGCTCATATGGATCTTAAAAGTAGCCGATATAGGTCATTTTATAACGAATTGGATGGGCTCAAATCAATATTACTTGAGCATAACTATCCTCTAGGTCTGATTAAAAATTACATGTGATTAACAAAGAATATTCTTTTCAATGGTGAGTACGTAGGAGGGCTACAGAAACCTTTTCCGATGTTTCGTCTTTGCCTTCGTGTGTCTCTACTATGATAGACGAATTAGTGAAGATGTGGGGAAAAAAGTGGTTTTTAAAGAAACTATGATATTTTTCAATTACGCCCGCTTTTAGCAAGGAAGTTGCCCCATTATCCGGATCTTTTTTTGTTGGAGAGGCTTGTCCTATTTAACAAAAGGTGGCTGGGCACTTAAGCGCTTGTAGGAGCTACTAGGTAAAAATTCGGAGCAAGCAGGGAACATGGCAGAAGCTGGGTATAAGATTGAATGGTCTCAAACCTTTCGTTTTACTGATAATAGTATGCCTGCGGTTTAACGTAAAATTAGAGGCCATCAAAATCATTAGACTATGCAACACGTCGAATATAAGCAACATTGTTAAGAAGGTAACTAAAAACGACACATACCTCATCAAAGAGCTTAGACTTGAGGCGTATATACAGCAATTAGGGATGAGCCGATGAGTTTTCTTGACTTGTTAGCTTGAATATGTCTCTAAGGATGATAATCTACTCAGATGATACTCGTCATACGAATGACCAAAGCCTAGCACATTTTGATTGAACTCGAAGAAGATTATCTTGAAAACGGCGCCAAAAAGAATGTTCCAGTAAAGCTAATCGACAGCTGATAAAGAGGACTCTGCTGTCATCTTCTGATGGAATCGACCTTCAAATCTCTTCACCGAGCACTTTCATTCGAACTGGAAGGGAGCTTAGCCATTATCAACCATTATATTTCTCGAAACCCAACTTTTCTTTGCACATACTGTGTAAATATATTCTGATATGCTGAATGATTCAAGTCCATAAAACTTAATTATTACGAATACAAGTGATACGATAAATTGTAATGGCAAACACATGTTTGCCTTATGGACAATCTTACCATTAAAATGTGATATTGTATAGTTCTGGTTTACTTTGAAAGTCACGTTTTATATGGAACGACTGGCATCTGTCGAAGTATTGCACTATGGCAAAATGTTTAAAAAACGCTGCACTACCAAAGTTCGATTCCTTTAGAGGTTCCTATGAGAACTGATTTAATATAGGTGTGGGAAAATTCACTATCAGTTTGTCATTACTTTAAGTTATCTAGGTTGATAAAGTTTTTATTTAATTAATTAAATGAGAACTCCTTCTAGCCTTTCTATTGCTTTAAGAAGATTGCGAGATTAGGAGAACAGGATTTACTTCCAAACATAAGAAATATACATAATTGGTTTAGAATCTGACTAATGCTTTTACGCTTCACATGACTTATGAGCATTACCTATACATGGCACTTGTAAATGATACAACTATGCTCTTCAATATTGCAGATTCAAAACTGCATGTTATTTGTGTGAGGATATAGCCGTTAATTCACAACAACATCTACTTCACGCATGATCCGCATCCATTCAACTTATTTGAAGACGTGTATGGAAAGCATAATGTGGCCAAACAAGTTATGCTATGCATGTCTGAGCATGTTCATCTTTCTTGTCCTAGGGCTCGCTGAAATTTCTTAAACGGACATTTTACACTCTGACGTCTGTCACTGTGAAACAGATGAATCAGATTCGCAGGACACCGCATCTAGGAAAATACATTATTATAGCTATTTATATGAACATCCTATAGTTTTATATTTTTATATTATTAAATATGTTTACTGAATAATTTGATATTATATTACCATTTTGTATATTTGACTTCCATAATTTTTACAACATATGGAGATATTCCGAAGGAAGAGTCCAATTTGAGTACTTGTATTTATCGTTAGGGGGGCCTTCATTTCGTATGAAAGTGCATGAAGAAGAGAATTGTTGTTTGATCGTACCAGATAAGGACGGATGAACCTCGTACTGCAGCCGTTTGATTTGTATATGATATTCATGTTGACGCAGTCTGCAAGACTTCCTCCTTCGTTTCGGGTGAAAACGTGCTGAGCTTTGGTCCATCATATGATGGACATCATCAGATCTGGGTGTCATTCTTGTAAAAGTCAAACGTTAACACTAGGCCAAGAAGATTATTCGGCTTTTTCTTACCTCTTATATAGACTCAGTTAAGGCAAAAGAAAATTAAAAACCAATATCAGTATAGAGTGGTTTGGCTAATTATCTTTCATACAGGTCCTGCTACTTTTGCATGAGTGTGTATGTGCGTGTGTTAGCGTCTATACGCAATACCGGTCCTAAATGAGAGTTATCAAAAGGTCATAGGCTCTGATCATCAACGCCTAATGACCTCAAAGAAAGCCCTGACCAAAACTGCGTAAGTCCGTAAGCAAGTACCAGATTACGCAACCCCAGTCTTGCCTTTCCTTGGGGGTCAAACGTTAATGGCCCTAGACTGAGAGGTTAAGACAAGTTGTTTCGTGACTTGATTTTCAT